GCATGTAGACAGGAAGTAGCTGAAAAAAGCTGAAGGAGGTGCAAAAAAAAGAAATGTTATGAAAACAAATGGTACTTTTATGATACATGGTGGTGTAACTAACAGTGTTATTCACTAAAGGGTGAAGAGTTTGGAGAAGGCAGGAGAAGTGAACCATCTAGGACAACATAGCTGAACTAGGAAGTGAGGTGAATTGGAGAATTGTTCCCAATCCGCTATGTTGTCCTAGATTGTTCACTTCTCCTGCCTTCTCCAAACGCTTCACCCTTTTGTGAATAGACCTGTAAATGTAATCTAGTCAGGGTTTAGATCTACTTTACATGTAGCATTTTGCACTAATGTTATAATTGCCTAATTTAAAAATACAGGAAGATACATTCATTTTTACATATAGCTGACAAAAATAATAGAATCTCTCTTGACATCGGTCACCTATGATACTCGGCATCACTCAGACTGGCAGAGGGAAGCCGGTAAGGCCCACTTGCATCTTGCAGTGATTATTTCATGTTGCTTCTTCATTGTTCAGTCACAGGATAGAACAAGTTCTAAACCAGATACATTTCTAATTGTCTAATGGTCTAATGTGCAAAGAAGTTTCAAAGAGTTCAGGATCTGGTTGTGTCACCTGGCAGGAGTGACTGATTAGTCAGTAAAGCAGTTCATCCTTTTGTAATGTAATTATGATTTGATAAGTTGTAACATACATTTATAATATTTGCTGTCACTTTTGCCGCAGGGAAACATTCCACTGACAACAGGAAGTGGTGACATTATTTTCCCTGCATGTTTGGTAGTGGCAGCTAAGACATCTGGTAAATGAAGCACGCTGTCCTTTAAATTAATGGATGTTGGTCTATGTACACCACTATAACTGTCTTTAGCATTGTGTTAGTGTCACATAGGAATTTCATAAAATGGAGAATGAACCACATGTAGTAAATTTGCATCAGTTTTCCTGTTCCCATGACCAGGGGTCCCCAGCCCCCAGGCCGTGGACCGGTACTGGTCCATGGCCTGTTAGGAACTGGACCATGGCCACTGGCAGTCTATTTGGCCAGGGCTGGATTAACATAGGGGCACGTGGAGCTTTCCGCTCCAAACCCGCCCCTGCAATTAGGCCCGGCTGGCCCCAGATCGCCTCAGTATGCCCGATGGCAATCTAGGCCGGCTACCATCAGGAAGAGGAGGCCCCCTAATCCGGCATATTAGAGAACGGTGTCTGCTGTGCCTGCAGCCACCAGTGAGACTCTCCAGACCCCAGGTGAGACCCCACACTGGCCACCTGAAAGCTCCACTAACCACCTGAGAACAGGAAAACAAGCTCAGGGCTCCCACTGCATTATAATTATTTTATTATATATTACAGTGTAATAACAATAGAAATAAAGTGCACAATAAATGCGCTTGAATCATCCTGAAACCTTCACCCATTCAATCCCCCGCTCCGGTCCGTGGAAACATTTTCTTCCTGCCAAAAAGGTTGGGTACTGCTGCTCTACACTTTTTAGTATGGATGGAGGAATCATGTGATTTTTCTCATTCAGAGAATCTGTTAAAGCGCTGCAGAAGAGCTACTCAGTGCTTGGCTAAGGAACTAAACGAGACTCGGTTAAGCTTTGAATTCAGATTCCCTCTGCTCCAGTTTTGATAAATCCCACTGTGTTCTCATGGATGTAGTCACTCAAGTTACCAGATCCTGCAGAGTAGTACAATGTGTCATTGCCTCTCTCAGGATAAATGCAGTGGGGAGTTTTTGTCTTAAAGTCTAACACTGCCGCCATAATTTATTTCTTTTCTCAGTTTAAAAGTTTAACATTTCTGCAAAATGCCACTAGAGAGTGCTAGTTGTCTGCTGTAATATAAAGGAGAGTGTTTGTTTTTTATTTTTTATCTAGTCATTATAAGCGACATGTTTGAGTGAGGGCATAGCTACAGTCTTCAAAGAAAACCCAGTAAATCTATATGATGAAGATTGAGAAGTATGACATTTGTTTACACTTTATTTCAGACTACATACATTTAATGTGACTCTTATTTGGCCATTAAAGTAAACCTGCCATTAAAGTAATACAAGGGCTTCCTCCCTCTGGAAATATTTATTGACTCTTATCATATGCTGCCATTATGGCTTTACAGAGATACTGTGAGAAGATACTGGCAAGTCAGCTGTGCATCCTTGAGTTTAGATCTCACTGGTGACATGGATACTACAGTAGGGTATACACGGGCCTATTTTTTTTATCGTTCAACCAGCAGGCTGAATTAAATAAATACAACAGTTTCCTCCATTCATGCTAAACAGAGGGGATGGATGAATCCCTTGTTTCTTCTATTCTGATGGCGACCACCAGCTACAAGCACCGTTCTGGAAGATTATCCAACATGTTTCTTCGACAAAAGTCGATCTAATGATAGATTTCTGCTAAAGGAATAAGGGTACACACAAAGATAATTTTGGCTGATTCAGGAAGTGTCGCCCAAACTGGTCCATGGTGAGATCCATGGTCCATGTGTACCCTACTTTAGAAGTGAGCTGTGTGTACTGGAGTGCCGATCTCACTTGTGACAGGGATACTTAGAAGTGAGCTATGTGTATTAAGATCTCTAGTATGTGAACTGTGTGTACTGGAGTGCAGATCTGAATTGTGACATGGATACTGGGAAGTCAGCTGTGTGTGCTGGAATGCAGACCTCGCCAGTGACATGGATACTGTGCAGTGAGCTGTGTGTACTGGAGTGCAGGTCTCACGACATGGATACTGGACAGTGAGCTGTGTGTACTGGATTGCAGATCTCACTGGTGACATGTATACTGGGAAGTAAGCTGTGTGTACTGGAGTGCAGACCTCACCGGTGACATGGATACTGGGCATTGACCTGTCTGTACTTGAGTGCAGATCTCACGACATGGATACTGGGCAGTGAGCGGTGTGTACTGGAGTGCAGACTTAACCTGTGACCTGGATAGTGGGAAGTAAGATGTGAGTACTGGAGTGCAGATCTCATGGTGGCATGGATACTGGGACGTAAGCTGTGTGTACTGGAGAGCAAATTTTGCTGATCACATACAGTGGAGTGAGTTGAGTTAGCAGAGGTAGGGACTGCCATAATTGGTGTTCTCAGACTGCCAGGTCATTATAAAGCCCAGCATGCTTTAGAAGTTCGGTGTTATGGCTGTACCATGTTTTCCGAATTCAACTGATGAAAATATACAGTATAATGTATGCATATTCATTTGGGATCCTAAAAAAATAAGAGCGACGATGCTCACATTCATGCAAATCCCTGTGTCTGCAATATCTTTGTTTTTAGTTCTGGGAACACACGCTGTCTCATGGGGACAACACATTGAACAGAAACAGTAAATTATCACTGGGGAAATGAAGACTGAAGAATATTCTAATTCTCCCAGAATCCCCTTCTCAGGCAGACTTGAGAGACACAGTCACTTGACTGGAGCTTAAAAACTGTTTTTGTTAAGGATAAAAGGGTAAAAGCTGACACTATTGCAGGATGTTGCAATATGCCATGCATTTATTCATGCAGCACAGTTACATTGTTTGATTTTAATTCAGTATAGTAATTCTCTTGACATAGTTGGATGATGGAACTTTGTTCAATTGCTAGTTGCCTCCTCAGCCGTGTCGTGGTGTGATAAGTTGTGCCTTCTTTACGGGTTTTGTAGCATGTGCTGTATGAAGCTGATGGGAAACAAAGTCTACATTATGTTTTGATTATTCAGGATGTGTACTGTATGCAAGATCTTTCATCCCTTTGATTTGGAAACCCCCTGCTTTTTCAGGGCCATCTGTGCGTACACATTTTTTTGCATAGCTTACTTTAAACTTCTCATTTTTTTCCCCAGAACATGCACCTGGCTACAAAATTACTGCTTTGTCCCAGGAGACTATAGCAGAACATGTCCTCGGGTATAAATCTTCAATGTACATTACAATTGGATTACATTAGATTCAGGTGTTCCGTGAAATTTCCTTGCTACTAAATATTCCATGGTCACCTGTTAGTGGTATTATAACAAAGTGGAAGCAACTGGGAACAACAGCAACTCAGCCACGTAGTGGTAGGGCACGTAATATGACAGAGTGGGGTCAGCACATGCTGAAGCGCCGAGCAGCTGCATCCAAGCCATACATAATCAAGTGCAATGCAAAGTGCTGGATGCAGTGGTGTAAAGCACGCCACCACTGGACTCTAGAGGAGTGGAGACGGGTTCTCTGGAGTGACGAATCACGCTTCTCTGGCAATCCGATGGATGTGTCTGGTTTTGGCGGTTGCCAGGAGAACTGTACTTGCTTGACTGCATTGTGCCAAGTGTAAAGTTTGGTGGAGGGGGGATTATGGTGTGGGGTTGTTTTTCAAGGGTTGGGCTTGGCCCCTTAGTTCCAGTGAAGGGAATTCTTAAGGCATCAGCATACCAAGACATTTTGAACAATTTCATGCTCCCAACTTTGGGAACAGTTTGGAGATGGCCACTTCCTGTTCCAACATGACTGCGCACCAGTGCACAAAGCAATGTCCATAAAGACATGGATGATCGAGTTTGGCGTGGAGGAAGTTGACTGGCCTGCAAAGAACACTGTCCTGAACCCGTTAGAACACATTTGGGATGAATTAGAGCGGAGACTGCGAGCCAGGCCTTCTCGTCCAACATCAGTACCTGACCTCACAAATGCGCTTCTGGAAGAATGGTCAAACATTCCCATAGAGACACTCCTAAACCTTGAGGACAGCCTTCACAGAAGAGTTGAAGCTGTTGTAGCTGCAAAGGGTGGGCCATCTCAATATTGAACCCTACGGACTGAGACTGGGATGCCATTAAATATCATGTGCGTGTAAAGGCAGGCGTCCCAATACTTTTGGCAATATAGTGTACTCATACTCTAACATTTTAAGTGTGCTAGATATATAATAAACACCATTTTAGCTATATTGTATGTTTACCACTGCAAATTCTAATTTTTATCTCTCATCTCTAGGTGTCCATTGTACCCATGGCTTTAACCGGACAGGTTTCTTAATCTGTGCATTCTTAGTTGAGAAGATGGATTGGAGGTAACTTTTTTGTTAACAGTTCGTATTACATTGTATGAGCCGTACACCTCATTACAAGCATTGATTAGCTGACCTTTTTAAATGAGATAAAAAATAACCTCTCACGTTGATTTAATTTTAGAAGGAAAGCCTCTTAGTTTTTAGGACCAAGCTAAAGCCGATATTTCAGTTATGAGTAGACGGTGGTGAATGCAGTCAGTTACTAGCTCCTTTCATCTTTTTATAACTCCTGCAGTGATATGTCTCATTGCATTCTCACTCCTCTTGCAGGCTGTACATATAAAAAATTCAGAATTTAGTTGCAAGAGCGAGTCTCATTCTTAAAGACACCAGGGCCCCTTGCCCATGCATGGTCTCTAGAAAGGGCCAGACACTGGTTTACTTTCCTTGTATGTACCTCTTTTTTAGCTCCTTTCTCCACAGCTAGCACTAAGATTGGCTGTGTCAGCAACTTGGGGGTACAGTGACATCACTCCTAAAGTCATGTGATAGTATTCTTGCATAGTGAATGGCTGAAGACCTGGGCACTTTCACAGGGAAGTAGGTCACATGATCCCTCATAGCCGGATGTGCCGTGCATTGTCAGCTACAGATAAGCTGTGATGGAGCACATGTAACGTGCACATAGGGAAGTCAGGGTTTGCCCTTTTCAGTGACACTGTCACCTTGCCCTGCCTGGGCAAGGTGACAAGGCTTCTTTAATGGTCACAACATGTGGGTAAATTTGCTATTTGTGCAGAGATCTTACCATTTGTTTAAAATTCCTTTTCAACCCCTTCTTAACCCCTTAAAATGGTACTGAAGGCTATTTGTTTTTTACGCAATGTATTCTCTGCATTAAGTTAAAAAATGCCCCCACTACCTTTCTATGCCCCCCACCTCCAAACACTTACCTACGCTCCATGTGCACAGCTGCTGGCTCCCAGACCATCTGCGGTGTGTCCCGAAATTCTGGGTTGAGCGGCAGGATCCTGACGTTACAGGGAGAAGGGCAGCGCTAGGCTGCTGCACCTACCTGTCAAGATACTGTAAGGTGGGAGATGGGGTGTGGCTTGTCGAGTGCTGTGTGTGTCTTTGGACGCATACAGTACAGCTCAATTCCCAGCTGGGAGCGCGCACACACAGGTGTCTCCTTTGCAACCTGCTAGGCAAAGGAGACGCCAGTAGCAGAAAGATAGGGGGCAGCGGTACAGCAAGATAAAAATAAATTAAACTGGAACAAAAAAAAAAATCAGCTACACAAGTGACTTTCGTCTGTAGAATAAAAAGGAAAACGGTAGGTTTAATATCACTTTCACAAAAAACGTTTTTGCTGAATTAGTAGGCCTATTGCTAAAATCTAAAAATTGCTCTGCTCCATAAGGGATATATACGTGTGAGAGCTAAAATGGCTAAACAATAAGAAAAATTGAGTCTATTACACCATGGTTATTGCTGCCAAGGTATGATTTGTTATTTTTGAATAAAGGATGCATCTACTGGGAAAAGAAATATGCAGTTAGAGAAGCCTATTATAATGCTAGAACAAGTTTCGTCTTAGGTCATATATGTAATCTTGAGAGCAAAACTCTGTGGTTATTAAGATACACGTGTCTTTGTGCTTAGCTCATTGTGTTTCAGGCTAAATATGTTCATTTGACCTTACTACCACAGGATCCAATATTAATAATCTCTTGTAATTCCCTGTGCCTTGCTGGTTGTTTTAGTACCTGTCCAATCCATTCACACCCCCCTTCAGGCAGTGGCAGGGTCGAGGGGCATCCCATAGACGTGCGATTATAACCTGATCTAGCCGTAAACTGTCATCTCATGGGTAGATATGCTCATCATGATAGTCAGGATTGAGGGCTACAGAAGTATTGTTCTGAAAAACATGTACACAAATAATGAAAAAATAAATAAGTGTATATGTATGTGTATATATGCAAAAAAAATAATCCAAAACAAAATGTGCTTTTATCAAGCTATACTTTATATACAAGGATATGCTAAAGCATTACAGGCCTGTGACCGTAAAGGATTAATTTTAGGGACTCGCAAACTTTTTGCATACATTTGTTTATATTAGTTAAACTATGTGTTTTTGTGTTTGAACTAATTTTTTTTTTTAGCCATTGGGGACACATACATTTTCTGCGTTTATTATATTTGTTGTTATTATCCTGATTTGCTGCAGCTTCAGTGACCCTCTCATTTTCTGTGCCTCAGGCTTCCCAGCTTTTTTCACCTATGTATTTCTGTGCTTGGGAAGGATCTTTTTCTGGAAGAGATCTGCTTTCCATGTAACATCAGCCTTATCTTGAGTGGTTTGTGAGTGGGAAAAGCTAATTTCTATGCAATAATTGTAACCCTGTGGGAGCAGTGTGGTTGCTGCAGCCTTCTTCATACTCCGTTTTTATACATCATGCATCTTCATAATTTTAAAAAAAAATCTAAAGTACGTGTGACTTTTAATGTGTGGACTTATATGGTTAGTTGTTCACTCTGTTGTTTGGGAACAACTCTTCTTCTCTCCTTCTTCTTCTCTCTTCTTCTTCTCTCCTCCTTCTCTCCTTCTTCTTCTTCTCTCCTCCTTCTCTCCTTCTTCTTCTTCTCTCCTATCTTCTTCTTCCTCCTCTTCTTCTTCTTCTTCTCTCTTCTTCTTCTTCTCTCTTCTTCTTCTTCTCTCTTCTTCTTCTTCTCTCTTCTTCTTCTTCTCTCTTCTTCTTCTTCTCTCTTCTTCTTCTTCTCTCTTCTTCTTCTTCTCTCTTCTTCTTCTTCTCTCTTCTTCTTCTTCTCTCTTCTTCTTCTTCTCTCTTCTTCTTCTTCTCTCTTCTTCTTCTTCTCTCTTCTTCTTCTTCTCTCTTCTTCTTCTTCTCTCTTCTTCTTCTTCTCTCTTCTTCTTCTTCTCTCTTCTTCTTCTTCTCTCTTCTTCTTCTTCTCTCTTCTTCTTCTTCTCTCTTCTTCTTCTTCTCTCTTCTTCTTCTTCTCTCTTCTTCTTCTTCTCTCTTCTTCTTCTTCTCTCTTCTTCTTCTTCTCTCTTCTTCTTCTTCTCTCTTCTTCTTCTTCTCTCTTCTTCTTCTTCTCTCTTCTTCTTCTTCTCTCTTCTTCTTCTTCTCTCTTCTTCTTCTTCTCTCTTCTTCTTCTTCTCTCTTCTTCTTCTTCTCTCTTCTTCTTCTTCTCTCTTCTTCTTCTTCTCTCTTCTTCTTCTTCTCTCTTCTTCTTCTTCTCTCTTCTTCTTCTTCTCTCTTCTTCTTCTTCTCTCTTCTTCTTCTTCTCTCTTCTTCTTCTTCTCTCTTCTTCTTCTTCTCTCTTCTTCTTCTTCTCTCTTCTTCTTCTTCTCTCTTCTTCTTCTTCTCTCTTCTTCTTCTTCTCTCTTCTTCTTCTTCTCTCTTCTTCTTCTTCTCTCTTCTTCTTCTTCTCTCTTCTTCTTCTTCTCTCTTCTTCTTCTTCTCTCTTCTTCTTCTTCTCTCTTCTTCTTCTTCTCTCTTCTTCTTCTTCTCTCTTCTTCTTCTTCTCTCTTCTTCTTCTTCTCTCTTCTTCTTCTTCTCTCTTCTTCTTCTTCTCTCTTCTTCTTCTTCTCTCTTCTTCTTCTTCTCTCTTCTTCTTCTTCTCTCTTCTTCTTCTTCTCTCTTCTTCTTCTTCTCTCTTCTTCTTCTTCTCTCTTCTTCTTCTTCTCTCTTCTTCTTCTTCTCTCTTCTTCTTCTTCTCTCTTCTTCTTCTTCTCTCTTCTTCTTCTTCTCTCTTCTTCTTCTTCTCTCTTCTTCTTCTTCTCTCTTCTTCTTCTTCTCTCTTCTTCTTCTTCTCTCTTCTTCTTCTTCTCTCTTCTTCTTCTTCTCTCTTCTTCTTCTTCTCTCTTCTTCTTCTTCTCTCTTCTTCTTCTTCTCTCTTCTTCTTCTTCTCTCTTCTTCTTCTTCTCTCCTCTTCTTCTTCTCTCGTGCATGACTATATGAATGTTCATCAAAACAGTACAAGGAAGAATGCAACTACCTGGAATGACCCATGGATAAATAATTAATAAATACGAAAATGCCGCTCCATGCTTGACAAAGAGGGTTACCTCGAAACGCGTAGCCGCTAGCACCGCTAAGTCAACCCACAGAGGTGTCTCACCACACAGCACAGCTCGCTTAGACCCACGAGCACCGATCCACACAGTGTGTTTAACCCTCCAACGTTCGCGCCATACACCGCACTGATACTCACTTTAGTGCGGTTTCCAACTGCCGGGCAAGATCTCTCCCCCCTCCTTTCTCCAAGTGCCGCGGCTCGGCCCGGCCAGCCGAGGACACGGCCTGGGGATACCCTGGGGACACCCTGGACACTCCAAATCGGTAGTACATTGACTACCTTCGTCACCCGTAAGTGAATGCAGGGATTCTGGTTGCTCACCTGTGACAACACAACCGTAAGTCACACATTTACCTTTCAACCCTAACCATTTAGCTAGTCACAGCAGGCTGTGCAGCATTTACGTATTTATTAATTATTTATCCATGGGTCATTCCAGGTAGTTGCACTCTTCCTTGTACTGTTTTGATGAATGTGGTTTACCGGGCTCCTCTCCCGTTTTTGAACAGTTTATGCACACCATTCCCCAATACACCAACGAGTAAGAGATTTGACCATACTGCAGTGGAGAGCTTTCCATGCATTTTTGTTTCAGATTGACTATATGAATGTTGTTCACTTTTAACCACTTTATGCAATAATATAACATTTGCCTGCCCCAAATAGAAACATTCCTTACAGATTCCTCCTAGATCCACACTAAACCGCATGAATGGACAGATCTCCCACTGCAGCCATTGTATACTGACAGCAGGTGCCAGACTAAGTGAACAGTAATCCCAGTTTGTTGACTGCAGTCACTGTTCAGCTGAGAATTTTCAAATAAAAGTTTCAGAAAACTTTGCTGACTGAGACACACACCGCTCAAATCAAATTTCAACTGAGTCAGTAGAAATTGGAGCAGTGTATGGCCAGCTTTGCTTCAGGTGTGTGTAATGAAGTCTAAGGCC